GATCCCAGGAGAGACACCCAAGCAGGAAAGGACTGGGGAGGGAGGGGCCTTGGCTCTGGAGGACCTGGCCCCCCCTTGCTTCCTGGCCTCTCTAGGAAGGCAGCTCGGTTCCTTTAACCCTTGCAGTGCCGAGTCCCCCGGCTCAGCCCTTCCTCCCTTCGCCCAGCCTGACCGACACGCTGCGCCCCAGAAGAGATCCCGGCTCGCGAAGGGTCGCTGAAGCGCAGAAGGGGGGGGGGTGGAGGTCCAGAGACGGGGAGCAACTGGGGCGGAGTGGGGGGCCTGTGCAACTCCCTCCCCCCTCCCTCCCGGCTGGACCAGAGCAGCTTCTCCTGGGGGGGGGACGCGCCCCCCCCCCCCCCCCCCCCAGAGACAGACATATTCATGGCACCGTTTCAAAGCCGATTTTGCGGGGAGGGGCGCCTATGCCCCTGGGGGGGGACTTCCTCGCCCCCCCCCCGCTAGATACGGCCCTGATCCCAGGGTCATCTAGTCCAACCCCAGCAAGGCAGGAATCTCAGCTAAAGCATCCATGGCAGATGTCCGATCTCTGCTGAGAAACCTCCAAGGAAGGAGAGTCCACCACCTCCCAAGGGAGACCTTTCCCTGCCCAACTGCTCTTAGATGTCCCTCAAGGCAGCAGGTCCTGAGTTCCAGCACTGCTGAAATAATGGCGCTGGCCACCAAGGAGGAACCAAGCGAAGTTCATAATAAAAAAATCCTATTCACACCATGAATGACCAAACTTTCTTAAGCATGTTGCTAGTCAAACACTCAATAGTATGCCATTTCCTCTCCCAGAAATGCTGAATTTCTAATTCAGTGGACCAAAAATGGATGGTTGTTATGTTTAGGGAAGCTTTTAATATTTGATGGCGTATTGTATTAATATTTTGTTGGAAGCCTCCCAGAGTGGCTTGGGAAACCCAGCCAGATGGGTGGGGGATAAATGAATGAATAAATAGTAATAATTGTTGTTGTTGTTAATTGAATTGATATACCGCCCTTCATTGAGAGATCTCAGGGATGTTGAAAACATAGAATTCATAAAAAGTATACAAATGATGCATCACCTCAAATTCTTTAATCAGGTGAGTTTTCTCCTTTGGAAAGAGGCAGGCAGAATCTCCACGGTTGCTAACAGAATAACGTTGAAAGGCTAGTGAAATATGGGGAACCAAGAGCATCTGCTTGGCATGCAGAATGTCCCAGGGTCAGCCCCTGGCATCTCCTGCAAGGGCTGGATGAGACCCCTGCCTGAAACTGGGGGGAGCTGCTGCCAGTCAGTGTGGACTATACAGGGTTAGAGGGAGCCCTTGGTCGGTCTCAGCAGAAGGCAGCTTCTGAGGCTACTTCAAAGCTCTGCAAGATCAAAAGGGATAGATATTCCCTAAGCAAACCAAATTTAAGAAACTGGAATCATGGCAGCCGGAATTTCGCACAAGATTCCAGGTGTGGATTCTGACCAAGGCAGAAGAGAGCAGGACTCGGACTTCCCTTCATCTGGACACGATGCACTTCTGTGGATGCAGCCGAGAAGAACATTTGCCTTCTTTGCTGCTGCTTTAAGCAGTGTACTCAGGTGGAGCTTGGGATCCACCAAGACCCTGAGATCCTTTTCGCATGTCCTGCTAGTCAGTCCGGTGTCCCCTGCGCAGCAGAGTCTCCCTGCTAATTGTCCCAAATTAAATCCAGGCGTCTTGTGTGAGGGAAACTGCGATCCAGGGAGTCTCTGGCAGGAGATAATGAGACAAGGAAAGTTGTATTTACAAAAAAGAGAATGGTGAAACAAAGTGAAGACAGGAGATGTGTTCTTTCAGGTAGAAGTTAACTTACTACTTCAGCTAAATGTCTCAGGATTAAACACGGTTCTGCAGGCACAGCTTCCCTCCAATTCAGTTGCTGCAGTTCAGGGAGATGTTCAGGTTTCCAGAATAGGTGGTGAAAGGCTGAACTCTCTTTCTGCGGCTTCTCTCTCATCCCCTCACTTAGTTATGAGAGGTCTTTCCGTGAGGTACTTTTGACACAGCCCAGCTTCCTTCACAGCGAGGGGCCACTTTTCCTCGCTTCCCCTCTCTCTTAGCAATCCCACTCCTGAGGTATTTTCCTTTGTATGCCAGACCCAGGGGATCCTCTCAGCCCTTGCCACGGACTTGGGAATCTCCTTTTCCTACAAGATCTCTCCCCTCCTGACTGGAAGGAGACCCCAGAAGAAGAAGAGAGTCTTCCCACAGCTTCTCCCTCCAGCTTCACTCCCATCTGAATACTCCCTTCGGACCCTCAACATGGTCTCCCCTTCTCAGCTGTGAGGCTCCTTCCTCTGGCTCCATAGATATTCTCCTCAGAGCGGATGATCCACTCAGATCAGAGCCACTTCTCCCTCCCTCCAACCCCTCTGACTCTCTCTCTCCCCAAACTGTCTCCTGGGCAGCCCCATCGCCACTGCACAGCGCTCCTTTGGCTCACTGGGTCTGGCCTGGTGAATGGGGCTTGGGCTACAGGGTGGCTTGGCAGGGCACATCCCATCCATGAGTATTTTAACCATAGGACCACAGAACGGGATGGTTGGGAGGGACCCCCGAGGGTCCTCTAGACCAACCCCCTCCAGTGCAGGAATCACAGCACAAGCATCTCTCCATCTTCCGTGTGAACAGCCCTTCAGATACAACAGAATAGCAGAACCCTTCACAGAGATGGAAGGGAACCACCAGGGTCATCTAGTCCAACCCCCTGCAATGCAGGAGTCTTTTGCCCAAGATTGAAACCACAACCTGGAGGTTAAGAGTCTCATGCTTTACTGACTGAAGTATATCTAAGTTCAGCATTTTTTCCTCATTTTTGTGCCAGGTTAGGCTTGTTAGGATATAGTTCCGTTCCACCTTACAAGGGTACAGGCATGACGTTTGTGTGTCACATGCCTGTTTACTCCCAGCACTGCTGGCAACTTCTGTCCTGTGTAGCATCGGTGTTACGGCTTTTTCGCTGGACACGAAGGCAAGCATTCATGGTTTCCTTTGTTCCTGGACTACGCTGAATAAATGCCGTACATTTTTGCTTGCACATATTCCTCTGTCCACCTCTTTCGTTGTGGATGATTTATACACTTGGCTGACAGATGATCTTTACACGGGTCTTGGAGCATAACTGAGGCTCGTGTCGCTAACTGACTGATGTTGTTCCACGGGAGACCGGTGATCGTCCGGAGCAAGCTGGGGGCCTGCCTGATGCCCCCGTCTCCCCAGCAGCATCCCAACAAAGCTAGGCCATTTTGCTTGGACAATTTAAGACCGGGAGTGACTTGTCAGATTTTAGCTGGCCCACATGCATCTGAGACTACAGAACATGGAGGCTGTCTTGAACCCCATATATCTATATATATTCCCATGTAGTGTGAGCGCTGCTGCTTTGCATGCAGTAGATCGATCCCAGGTTGAATCCTCAATATCTTCAGGTAGAGCTGGGAATGTCCCTGTCTGAAACCCTCACCACTGCAAGTAACGGAAGACAATAAGCCACTACTAGTATATCCTATCAGGTGCTTTAACAGAGAACTATCTCATATAATTTACCGTATTTTTTGCTCTATAGGACGCACGTTTTCCCTCTTAAAAAGCAAGAGAAAATGTGTGTGCGTCCTATGGAGCGAATGCAGGGGGGGAGGCAGGTGGGAAAAGCCCCCAGGAGCCGCACACAAGCTCTGTGTGCTCTTGCGGGCTTTTCCCCAGGAGGGAGAAGGGACTGACTGGCCGCATCAGTCCCTTCTCCTACCTCATAGAAAAGCCAGCAGGAGCCGTGTGCTCCTTAAAGGGTGTGTGGCTCCTGTGGGCTTTTGCGGGAGATGGGGGAATTCCCCCACCTCCCGCAAAAGCAGGAAGGACTGGGAGAAGAGCACAGGCTGCCTGCAGCCTGTCTGCTGCTCCCAGAGCTGCGGGGGGGGGGGCGATCATATTTTTTTCCTTGATTTCCCCCTCTGAAAACTAGGTGCGCCCTATGGTCAGGTGCGCCCTATGGAGCGAAAAATATGGTATGCAAGATTATCCTTTCCCCCCTGTGTTTCTTTTCCTTTAATCTCTTGTCAAGGGAAAGCACCTACTTCCAAATCCTAGTTTCATTTCATTGATAACTGACTTTGACTAGTGGGGTGCCACAGGGTTCTGTCTTGGGCCTGGTCTTATTCAACATCTTTATCAACGACTTGGATGATGGACTCAAGGGCATCCTGATCAAATTTGCAGATGACACCAAACTGGGAGGGGTGGCTAACACCCCAGAGGACAGGATCACACTTCAAAACGACCTTGGCAGATTAGAGAACTGGGCCAAAACAAACAAGATGAATTTTAACAGGGAGAAATGTAAAGTATTGCACTTGGGCAAAAAAAATGAGAGGCACAAATACAAGATGGGGGGACACCTGGCTTGAGAGCAGTACATGTGAAAAGGATCTAGGAGTCTTGGTTGACCACAAACTTGACATGAGCCAACAGTGTGACGCGGCAGCTAAAAAAGCCAATGCAATTCTGGGCTGCATCAATAGGAGTATAGCATCTAGATCAAGGGAAGTAATAGTGCCACTGTATTCTGCTCTGGTCAGACCTCACCTGGAGTACTGTGTCCAGTTCTGGGCACCACAGTTCAAGAAGGACACTGACAAACTGGAACGTGTCCAGACGAGGGCAACCAAAATGGTCAAAGGCCTGGAAACGATGCCTTATGAGGAACAGCTAAGGGAGCTGGGCATGTTTAGCCTGGAGAAGAGGAGGTTAAAGGGTGATATGATAGCCATGTTCAAAGACATAAAAGGATGTCACATAGAGGAGGGAGAAAGGTTGTTTTCTGCTGCTCCAGAGAAGCGGACACGGAGCAATGGATCCAAACTACAAGAAAGAAGACTCCACCTAAACATTAGGAAGAACTTCCTGACAGTAAGAGCTGTTCGACAGTGGAATTTGCTGCCAAGGAGTGTGGTGGAGTCTCCTTCTTTGGAGGTCTTTAAGCAGAGGCTTGACAACCATATGTCAGGAGTGCTCTGATGGTGTTTCCTGCTTGGCAGGGGGTTGGACTCAATGGCCCTTGTGGTCTATTCCAACTCTATGATTCTATGATTCTATGACTTCCTTGAATCCCCTCTACCTGAAATATCACCTGTTTAGCAGTTCTCCAAATTCATATTTCTAATAATATTAACTTCTTTCATTTACTAACAACTTTATTAATATTCTAATTCTTAATGTTTATTAACAACATATACTTATTCTACTCCTAAGCCTAATTATTACTTCCAAGAAATTTCTCTTTATCTTATATTACAATCTTTAGCTAAATAGTCTTTACATTTCTTCCAGTCCTCTTGTGTCTCCTTTCTGGTCACGGATTCTTCCAGTCAGGCCGGCCAGCTCCAAAAAGTTCAACATCTTCATCTGCCATTCTTCTATTGTTGGTATCTCTTGTGATTTCCAATTTTTGGCTAATAAAAGTCTTGCCACTGTAGCGGCATACAAAAACAGTCTAACATCTTTTTTGGGCAATTCCAGTCCTATTATTCCAAGTAGAAAGGCTTCTGGTTTTTTATTAAATGTATTTTTCAACATTTCTTTCAACTCATTATATATCTTTTCCAAGAAGTCTTTCACCTTAGGACACGTCCACCACATATGATAGAAAGTACCTTCTTTTTCTTTGCATTTCCAACACAAGTTATTATTTGTATGATACATCTTTGCTAATTTCACCAGGGTTAAGTACCATCTATACAGCATTTTCATAATATTTTCTTTTAATACAGTGCATGCAGTAAACTTAACCCCTTTCTTCCACAGCCTTTCCCAATCTGCCAACATTATATTGTGTCCAACATCTCTTGCCCAGTCCATCATCACAGATTTAACTTGTTCGTCCTTTGTATGCCATTCTAACAACAAATTATACATTTTAGAGAGATTTTTAACATTGGTATCTAACAATTCCGTTTCCAATTTAGATTTTTCTGTTGCAAAACCATTTTTCTTATCAAGTTTATATAGTTCATTAATCTGATAACATTGTAACCATCCATCCAATTTATCTTTAATTTTATCAAATGGTCTTAATTTAAATTCTTCATTATCTTTCACTAGTAAATCAGCATATTTCAACCATTTACTCTCCATATTCAACTTTTTCTGTGCGTTTGCTTCCATTGGTGAAAACCATCTGGGTGTTTTCCTTTGCAAGAGAGCTTTATATCTTATCCATACATTATATAAAGATTTTCTAATTACATGATTTTTATAACCTTTATGAGCCAATATCTTGTCATCCCACAAGTATGCATGCCAACCAAATACATTGTCAAATCCTTCCAAATCTAACACATCAGCATTATCTATTTGAATCCATTCCTTAATCCAGCAGAAAGCTGCTGCCTCAAAATAAATCTTCAAATCTTTTAGGAAAAATCCATCTCTCTCTTTTGCATCTGTTAATATTTTATCTTTAATTCTGGGGTTTTTCCCCTGCCAGATAAATTTAGACAATGCTTTCTGCCATTCTTTAAAACGTCTAACACTGTCAATAATTGGTAAAGCTTGGAATAAAAACATCTTTGGCAATACGTTCATCTTAACCACCGATATTCGGCCCATTAATGACAATTTTAAATTTGACCAGCTCTCAAGTTCTCTCTTAATTTCATTCCATAGTTTCTCATAATTATCTTTATATAAATTCAAAATTTTCACTGATAAATTCACACCCAAATATTTCACTTTCTGCACAAAAACAAGGCCTGTCTTTCCTGAAGGCTTTTTCTCTCCTCATTATCTAAGTTTCCCCCCCAACACTTTGGTTTTGCTCTTATTTAACTTGAATTCTGCTACTTGTCCGAACTCCTGAATCAGCTCCAGTGCTTTCACTGCAATGGAGTCTGGGTCTTCTAAAGTTAACACCAGATCATCAGCAAAGGCTTTTAACTTACAGTGGTACTTCGGGTTACATACGCTTCAGGTTACATTCGCTTCAGGTTACAGACTCCACCAACCCAGAAATAGTGCTTCAGGTTAAGAACTTTGCTTCAGGATGAGAACAGAAATCGTGCTCCGGCGGCATGGCAGCAGCAGGAGGCCCCATTAGCTAAAGTGGTGCTTCAGGTTAAGAACAGTTTCAGGTTAAGTACAGACCTCTGGAACGAATTAAGTACTTAACCCGAGGTACCACTATATATTGTTTAGAGCCTACTGTTATTCCTTTAACCTCCTCCTCCTTTCTCAATTCTAATTTCTTCTGAAACCACATTATTAACTATAATTTTAGCTTTTTGTTCAAAATAGATTGCATTAATACCATTTAAAAATTCTTGCCCAACCTCAATACTTTCTAAATTCCTTTTCATAAAACTCCAACAAACATTATCAAAGGCCTTCTCAGCATAAATAAACATTAACATCGCTTTAGAGGTTTTTTTTAACATCCAACCTTTCTAACACATTGATTATATTCCTAATATTATCTTTCATATGTCTCCCAGGCAGAAATCCTGCCTGATCCTTGTGAATATAATCTGTTAGCACCTTCTTCAACCTATTGGCCAAAAGGTTAGCAAAAATTTTGTAATCCACTTTGAGTAGTGAGATTGGTCTATAATTTTTCACGTTGGATCTATCTTGATCTGGTTTTGGCATCAGGGTTATAAAAGCTTCTTTCCAGGTTTCAGGTGCTTTGTCTCCTCTTAATATCTTGTTGCATACGTCCATCATTGGCTGAATAAGCCAATCTTTCAGGGTCTTATAGTACTTTGCTGACAAACCATCTGGCCATGGTGCTTTGCCTAGCTGCATCTGATTTATTGCATTCTCAACCTCTTGTCTTGTAATCAATCCATTAAGCAGGATCTTTTTATCTTAGGGAATTTTTTGCAATCCATTTAAATTGCTCAATTTTATCTTTATCTTCTTTTCCACTTTTATACAGCTGTTTATAATACTTCTGAAAGCATCTTCTTATCTCTGCAAGGTTCTCCACAGACTTTCCTTCTGATACAATATTAGTAATAGTACTTTGTTTCTGTCTCTTTTTTAACTGCCAAGCAAGCAGTTTTCCACATGTATTTGCAGATTCAAAATTCCTTTGTCTCATCATCCTTATTTTCCATTCTATTTCCTGGTTTATATTCTGGGAATACTGTATCTGTAAAGCTTTAATTTCCTTTTGGATCTGCAGGTTCTTTGGGTTACATCTCAAATTCTTCTATCTTTTAATTGAGACAAAATATTGTCTATTTTCTTATTCCGTATCTCAAAGTAATCTTTAAGAGTCTTTTGGGCTTTCCCAGTTGTCTGTTCATTCCTCAACAAATCATCATTCATTCTCCATTTGAAGGATCCCTGCAGAAATATTTTCATTTCCAAAAACACAGCATTATGATCAGAGTCTGGGCATATTTCAACTTTGGTTACTGTGGGAACAATGTCTCTGGATATCCATAAATAGTCACTTCTTGAGGGTGATTGATTTGCATCGGCATAGAACATGAAGGCTTTTTCTGCTGGATTTCTCACTCTTCATATGTCTGACAGATCAAATTTGTCCACCATTTCAAAAAAGACCTTCTGTAGTCTGCCATAATTCATAACTTTCTGTCTCTGTGTTCTATCCATAAGCATTGATGCGACACCATTCAAATCTCCCATCAAAATCAATTTGTAATCCATATAATCCAGAAGTCTTGTTTCCAGATTCTTAAAAAATTCCGCTTTGCCATCATTTGGTGCATAAATTCCCAAGAGCAAATATTTCTCGCCTTGTGCCTTGACTTCTACTGCAATATATCTTCCCTCCTCATCTTTAAACATTCTAGGATTCCATTTTACTTTAATAGAAGACCACTCCTCTTTTCTTCACTTTGTCCGATGAAATGAATTCCTGTCCAAGTCTCTTATTCTGAAGTACTTTTCTATGTAATCTGGTGACATGAGTTTCTTGCAGACAAATTATATCCAAATTCTGTTTTGCTAACACATGATATACTTGGATCCTTTTTAGTCGTGAGTTCAAGCCGTTAACATTCCAAGAGTAAATTCTCAGTGCTATCTTGTGATATTAGGGAGCCCCTGCACCTGCCCCTGATGCCTGTGGACTTTCCAATCAAAGTTCCTCAGCATTTTCCTCCCCAAAACCCTCATTTTTTATTCAACAGTCTTAATTCTTTGTTTCCTTCCTTGAAATTTGAAGGAGAGGCCCTCTGGGAACTCCCACCTGAAGAAGATATTCTTCCTTCTCAGAGCTCCAGCCAGGTCCACGTAATTGTTCCTTAAATTCAAAAAGTGTTTTGGAATCTCCTTGAACAAAACAATTGGCTTGTCTTTTATCTTCCGACCTTTTTCGTAATGTAGGCTCAAAATCCTGTCTCTCTCTTCCTTTGTCTTGAAAACCAGTATACAGTCATATACCACTTTTGAATCTTTCTTAGGCCCAAACCTATAGGCCATCTCAATCCAGGAATTTAACTCGTCTTTTTCCAGATCCCAGCAGGCTGCAAACTCCTTTAGCCAATCCTTAAGATTATCTTGTTCCAATTGAGGTGTGCCTCTCACTCTCAGTTGGTTCTCACGTTCCTTCATCTGTAAGAAGGCAATTGCATTAAGCGCCTCCTGTTGGGTCCTCTCCACATCAAGTACTCTCACTGTTTCCAATTCCATCAGTCTTTTTTCCGTGACCAGCAACTTCTTCCCTGACCTCTTGAAAACCTGATTTTAAATCTGTAAATTCTTGTTTTAGCTCCTGTACATTCTGCTGGGTTCCTTTAACATCTGTTCTTATTTCTGTTAACATATGCATCACCGACTCTTCAAAAGTTGGTCTTTGGAGCCTCTTTTGTCTTTAACTTGGCTTTTCTCAGGTTTATCTACCCCATTAGCCATAACTATTCCAAAGTGTCAAGGTCAAGTCACCCAGTCACAGTCCACAAAATTTTTAGTACGCAGGCAGCAGCAGGCAGCTCAGCAGCTTCTCCCTTTCAAAGTCCTGTTCTTTTTACTCTGCTTATTCTTTTTTAAAAACCACCACAATAAGCTCAAACACTACGGAGCGGCATCTTGCCGTTAAAGTAAGGAGTGTTGGGTTTGGCTGTCCTTTCTTGGTATTAGTTGACATTTTTATTTCTTCTCTATATAAACACTGATGTCAGGATACAGGAAGCTTCTGATTCTAAGCAGTTGCCAGGGTTGGAAGATGGCCCAGAGCAAAGGGGGGGTTTGTCATGGAAACACTCTCCCAGAATGTAGGTGAAAGGCCAAACTCCACAGATAGCCTCTCAGAAATGGCTGGCCAGCCTTTGAGTATTCAAGAGCGGGGGGGGGGGGGGTTTACAGGAAAAAGGATGCGATTCGTCACAGAGTATGAAGAGAAGTTTCCTCCCACGTTGCATTTGTAGGATGAAACGTGACACTGAGAACTTAGTTGAGTCATCATCGTAATGGCGACCAGCTCACGGGAGAGGAGCTCCTGGTAATCTGTTCTTTTCTTGGAATAAAACCAACTTTATAAATGAACTGCACTCATATGCGACTCACTGCCATGACAACTTACTATCCCTATATATACAGAGGTTCTCTCTAGGTACACACAGGGCTGGTGTGTTCTTCAAGCTATCCTATTTATCGATCCCGCCCACAGAGGTATTTTCGCTCTGAGAGATTGGGGGGCGGGTAGTGCTTAAGCGCCCCATATTTAATGTTTAATAACAATTACTGAGGGCTGGGTGGATTCCTACAACAGTATTAAAAATACATGTATTCAATAAACATTGGCCACATGTTATAAAAGGAATATGGACTGTGTTCCCCCACCTTTTGGATACTTAAATGTTGATGCCCAGAATTCAACACAGTATTCTAGGTGAGGCCTGACCAAGGCAGAATAAAGTGGTACTATTCCTGCCCTTGATCCGATTCTGCCTTCTGCCACATTGGCCTCCACTTCCCATTTGGTGTCGTCTGCAAATGGGATGAGCATCCCCTCAGTTCCTTCATCCAAGTCATTTTTAAAGACGTTGAACAACAACGGGCCCAGGACAGAACCCTGCAGCACCCCTCTTGTCACTTTTCCCCAGGATGAGGAGGAACCATGAAGGACCCCTCTTTGGGTTCGGTCAGTCAAATCCACATAACAGTTTCCTCGTTCAGCCCACATATTACCAGCTTCCATGTAAATATTTCATGGGGGGACTTTGTCAATAGCCTTACTGAAATCAAGATGCGCTATTTTAACAGCTCTCCCCTGATCAACAAAGTTTGTAACTTCATCCAAAAAAAGGGGAGGAGAGATTTCTCTGGCTTGACTTGTTTTTGAGAAAGCCATGCTTTCATCTTCTATGTTTATATTGTGAAATCTTCAGATGAAGGGCACATAAATATTAAAAAATGATAATAAATAAGGATATTGACAAGCTGGAACATGTGCAAAGGAAGGCAATTTACAGTATGTCTTTATTTAATTTGTATAATACTCGACCAAGTGGTGCTGAATTGAAAAAAATATTGGTGGGAGGGGCCAGGTAAGGCCTGCCTTGCACAATCAATCACATGATGCAAGCATGCCCTTGGAATTGCGATGACTAGCAACTGGGGGGGGGGCCTTCAAATATATTATTGGGGGGCAAAGACCCCTCGGCCTCTAAGGGTAGGCTCCTAATCCCTGCACCCACAGGTCTAAGGATGGTTACAACATAAAAGCACAATATAAAAAAAAATAAACATCTATAACCCCCCCTCCCCACGACGTTTTAAAAGGACGTTACATGTCAATCAGCCAAAGGCCTGGTTAACAAGGTACGGATCTGCCTGTCTCCTAAAGCTGTATAACAGTTTTTCTTTTTTTTTCTTTTTAAATGATATTTATTAAAGTTTCACATGAAAAGAGACACATTAATAAAAAAAAAGAATTTAAAAAGAAAAAGAAAAATACACATTACAGGATACAAAAAGAAAAAAGAAAAAACAGTTAAAAACAATTCCATCTTTTCATCACTACTTTTACATTTACTTATTTCCCGGACCTCCTCATACCTCCCTCTTTTGTATTCCAATTCAGTTTGTTTGTCCAGCAATTCCTTTCCCTCCTTTTTAATCCCAATCCTTAATCTTAATATAATATAACATTAAATTTTTACCTATTAAAAACCAATTTTCCATTCTTTTATCCTTTTTAATCCTAATCCTTAATCTTGATCTATATGTAACTTTAAAGCCTGTACAGCGAGAAGCCACTTAATTTCAATCCAACATCACTCTAACATTCTTTAATTTTGCAATATTTCTGTAAGTAATCTTTGAATTTCTTCCAATCTTCTTCCACCGACTCTTCTCTCTGGTCACAGATTCTGCCAGTCATTTCCGCCAATTCCATATAGTCCATCAATTTCATCTGCCATTCCTCCAGTGTGGGTAGCTCTTGTGTCTTCCAATACTTTGCGATGAGTATTCTTGCTGCTGTTGTTGCATACATAAAGAAAGTTCTATCCTTTTTAACACCGATTGGCCGACTATGCCCAGGAGAAAGGCCTCTGGTTTCTTCAAGAAGGTATATTTAAATACCTTTTTTAATTCATTATATATCATCTCCCAGAAAACCTTAATCTTTGGGCACGTCCACCAAAGGTGAAAAAATGTACCTTCAGTTTCTTTACATTTCCAACATTTATTATCAGGCAAATGGTAGATTTTTGCAAGCTTAACTGGGGTTATGTACCACCTGTATATCATTTTCATAATATTCTCTCTTAGGGCATTACATGCCGTAAACTTCATACCTGTGGTCCATAACTGTTCCCAGTCAGCAAACATAATGTTGTGTCCAACGTCTTGTGCCCATTTAATCATAGCAGATTTCACCGTTTCATCCTGAGTGTTCCATTTCAGCAGCAAGTTATACATTCTTGACAAATTCTTAGTTTTGGGTTCTAACAGTTCTGTTTCTAATTTTGATTTTTCCACCTGGAAGCCAATTTTCTTGTCCAGATTGTATGCCTCCATTATCTGATAATAATGAAGCCAGTCTCGCACTTTGTTTTTTAATTTTTCAAAACTCTGCAATTTCAGTCTATCTCCATCTTGTTCCAAAATTTCCCAATATTTCGGCCATTTGACCTCCATATTGAGCTTTTTCAAGGCTTTCGCTTCCATTGGTGACAACCACCTTGGAGTTTTGTTTTCCAATAAATCCTTGTATCTTATCCAAACATTAAACAGTGCTTTCCTGACAATGTGATTTTTAAATGCTTTATGTGCTTTGACCTTATCATACCACAGATATGCATGCCATCCAAATACATTGTTAAAACCTTCTAGATCCAAAATGTCAGTGTTTTCAAGAAGCAGCCATTCTTTCAACCAGCAAAAGGCTGCTGATTCATAATAAAGTTTAAGGTCTGGCAGGGCAAATCCACCTCTTTCCTTTGCATCTGTTAGTATTTTAAATTTTATTCTGGGCTTCTTGCCCTGCCAGACAAATCTGGAAATATCTCTCTGCCACCTCTTGAAACAGTCCATTTTGTCCACAATTTGCAGTGTTTGAAACAAAAACAACATTCTAGGCAATACATTCATTTTTACCGCAGCAATACGGCCCAGCAGTGAAAGCTTCAAATTTGACCAAATTTCTAAATCTTTTTTCACTTCAGCCCAACATTTTTCATAGTTATCTTTAAATAAATTCCCATTTTTGCTGTCATGTTAATCCCCAGATATTTAACTTTCTTAACCACTGTTAAACCTGTCACATTCTGAAACCTCTCTCTCTCCATTGGTGTTAGATTTTCTCTAAAACCTTAGTTTTTAACTTGTTCAATTTAAATCCTGCAACCTGACCAAATTCTTGAATCAGTTCTAAAACCCTTTTGGTACTAGATTCTGGCTCCTGTAACGTCAATACTAAGTCATCTGCAAATGCTCTCAATTTGTACTGTTTAGCTCCGACCTGTATACCTTTAACCAGCTGGTCCCTTCTAATCATGTTCAGCAAAACCTCCAGGACCAAAATAAAAAGTAGTGGGGAAATTGGGCAACCTTGTCGTGTCCCTTTTTTTGTATTTTAAGTTCTTCCGTCACCACATTATTTACAATTAATTTAGCCTTTTGTTCTGAATAAATTGCACTTATACCATTTTCAAAGCCTTGGCCTACCCCCATACCCTGTAGGTTCTTCTTCATAAAGCTCCAAGAAATATTGTCAAAAGCTTTCTCCGCGTCCACAAATATCAAAACTGCTTTAGTATTTATATTCACTTCTAGTTTTTCCAAAATATCAATTATATTCCTCAAATTGTCAGACAAGTGTCTTCCTGGGAGAAAGCCCGCTTGATCTTTATGAATCTCTTCCATCAACACTTTTTTAAATCTCTTAGCCAAAATATCTGCAAAAATTTTGTAATCCACATTGAGTAATGATATGGGGCGGTAGTTCTTAAGCTGTGTCTTTTCAGTCTCTGTTTTCGGTACAAGTGTAATATATGCTTCTTTCCACGACTCTGGTGCTCTTCTCCCCTCCATTATTTCATTACAGACCTCTTTCAAAGGTTGTATTAACCATTCTTTCAAGGATCTGTAATATCTAGAAGTCAATCCATCCGGTCCTGGAGACTTACCCAATTGCATGTTTTGAATGGCACCTTCTATCTCCTGTTCAGTTATTTTATAGTTCAACATTAATTTATTTTCTTGAGAGATTTTTTGTAATCCATTTGTTTTCAAAAATTGATCTAGATCAGTTCCTTTCAGTGGCCCTTGTGTATATAGTTGTTTAAAGTACCTCTGGAAACAATTTCTGATCTCAGCTGGGTTCTGTATGTTCCTTCCTTCCACTTCTAAATTTGTAACTGTATTTAATTTTTGTCTTTTTTTCATTTGCCAAGCCAACAGTTTCCCACATTTGTTAGCCGACTCAAATGTCTTTTGTCTCATTTGTTTAATTTTCCATTCTATTTCCTGATTCATCATTTTCATGTATTGTACTTGGTGTAGCTTTAGTTCTCTCAGAATCTCTTGAGATTTTGGATTTGTTCTCAATCTTTTTCACTTTCCTTTATTTTCTCCAATATCTTATCCTTCTTCTCATTTTGAATTCTCTTCTTTACTGCATTCTGTTGTATCAGAAACCCTCTCATAACCGCTTTACTTGCGTCCCAGATTACTCTTTTTTCCACGTTGGTATTCATGTTTATCTCAAAATAATCTCTCAAGGTTTTTGGGGCCTTCTTTAACACTTCTTCGTCTCTAAATAAGGTGTCATTCATCCGCCATCTGAAGGAGCCAGTTGGTGTTAGTTTCATTTCCATCTTAACAGCATTATGGTCGGAGCAAGTTTTAGGGCAGATTTCCGCCTTTCTTGTCTTTGGTGCCATTCCTCTAGTTACCCATATTTGGTCAATTCTTGTCCATGTCATTTTGGCTTCAGAAAAGAAGGTTCCCTCTTTAGCCATGGGGTTTCTTGTTCTCCAGATATCAACTAAATCCAAATTGTCTGTCATCTCAAAAAAGGTTTTCGGTAGTCTACCATCCTTGGTGACTACCTGTCTTTGTGCCTTGCCCATATGTGTGGATACCACTCCATTCATGTCTCCCATCAAAATCATGTTATAATCCAAATAGTCCATCAAAGTCTCATGCAACTTCTTAAAAAAATCAGATTTCCCCTCATTTGGTGCGTAAATTCCTACTATCAAAATTTTTTCTCCTTGTGTTTGAATTTCAATTGCCACAAATCTTCCTTGGTCATCTTTAAAAATTAATTTCGGTGATAATCTGTCCTTTGCATAAATCACAACCCCTCTTTTTTTAACTTTGTCCAATGAAATAAACTCCTGACCAAGTCTTTTATTTATCAATAGTTTCCTGTGTAATCTTGTTATATGTGTTTCTTGTAGGCAAATCAAGTCCAATTGTTCCTTTTTTAATAAATGAAACACAGATTTCCTTTTCTGAGGGGAATTGAGACCATTACAATTCCAGCTTAGTAGTTGCAGGGCCATGATGTAATTATTTTGGTTCTCCTCCAACAGCACCCAGTGCCTGTTCCTGTTCCGTCGGTGGTATCACATTTTTCAGGCGGTCTTTTAGTTCCAGAGATAGTCCTGGTGTGTCTAAGGTTTCTCTTACAATTGCTCTTAACTCTCCAGTAACTTTCTTCTGTAGGTCTTCTCCATGGTCTCTCCAAAATTTGTCTTTGTCGTCTTCCGATCTTATTTTTCTCTTCTTTCCTTTGTAACTAAAGGATAGGCCTTGAGGAAATTCCCACCTAAAGTTAATTCCGTTACTTCTCAACAGAGTAACCAGGTCTTTGTAGTTAGACCTGAGATCCAGAAGGTGTTTCGAATATCCTTGAATATCTCCACTTTTGACTGTTGTATTTCCAGTGTCTTCTGGAAATGCAAACTCAAAATCTTGTCTCTCTCTTCTTTTGTTCGGAGAGTGATCAAACAATCTCTCACCTTCTTTCCCCCTCCTTTTCCAAGTCTAAAAGCATTCACTATTTTAAAACTGTCTTTCCCCAAATCTGGATTCCAAAAATCTAGGAATTCCTGCGTAAGAAATTCAACTAAATTGTCTTTCTCCACTTCAGGTACAGCTCTGACCCTTAAGTTCACTTGTTTCTCCTTCAACTCGATCATAGACAGGATTGACTTATGGTCTTCAAGTTGTTTATGTAGCGGTGGTATCTTCTCTTGAACCTCTGCAACAGTAGCTGTAGCAATTTCTTTAGCCTCTTCGGCAATCTCACGTGTCGAAGCAGATTCCTGTAATAATTTCTGAATAGTTTCTGTATTAGTATTTACTTTCTGTCCCAAATTATTGATACTTGCTGTATTTTGGTTAATACTTGTCGTATTTTGATCAATCTTATCCGATGCCTCTGCTACTTGTTTACTTATTCTATCCAAAGATTCATTAATTTTAGCCAGTGCCTGAGCAAGGGCATCGTCACTTGCCATACCTTTAGTTTTAGGTTGTGCCGATGAGCTTGCTGTTGGAACTCCTGGGGGGCCAGATGTCGAAGCCCTCCTTTGCAATCCACCGTCTGTGCGATATAGTCTGCCAGACCTTTTTGCTTGTAACAAATCTAACTTCTCTTTCCCATCTGCCATACCCCTCTAGATAAAACTCAAGGTCAGTCACACAGTCAGAGTCAAAGTTGTTTTGAAATGGAAAGTTCCAGGAAAACAGTGTGAGAAATTTCCTCAGGCCAGCTGCAGTTGTAGCTAGTTCCAAATTCCACTAGGGGGACACTGTAACAGTCATAAAGTTCTTAAAGTAATTTTCTTCTCCCTTAAGTCCCCCAATTCACCAGAAAGATAACAATCTATCTTAGACAGTTACTTTAGGACCAGGAGATACCTATCAGCAATATTGTATCCAAATTGTATTTCAGATGCAGGGCTAGCTGTCAAAATACGTTCAAAGACAGTACATTCTCTTAGGCTTTTTACTGTCACTGGGAACCCATTCCAGGGGGTTTGAGCGGTGGTTTTTATCTCCTCTTTCTCACTTCTTCTTGGGGAAATAACGTTCAAAACTCCCCCCCCTCTTCCCCCAAATTGATGGGGGGGAAATCCCGGTTAGATGATCGGATTGTAATCCTTTTACGCGTCTTTTAAAGCTTCCGCTTTCAAGTTCAATGCTTTGTTCTATCTACAAGAGCGGGAGGCTGACTTCCCTTTTATACCTCTCCGCTTCGGCCAATTACTTTCAATTTTTGTACAGTTCCTTTAATTAGGTAGTAATCCTATTCACGGATCGTTATTTTCGAAGCCAAATTGTCAAGGAAGAAAGGCAGCGCTCTCCGGCAACAGCTACGTGGCTTCACTCCACAGAAGAAGCAGACGACTCACAGCACAGCGCCGCTTCCCCGCTCTGTTCCGGAGACCGTTGCCGGGTTCCTTGGCAGATGGGGGGGGCGCAGACAGTGCCCGCCGAGTCCCAGGGTTACAGGCTTCACTCGCCTGTGGTTTCAGGGGTCCCTGCTGCGCCGAAGCGGTATCCGACCCTATTTCTGTGGAGCGGGTTCCCTCCGAATCAGAGGGAATCCGCCATTACCGTTGGCGCCACCTCCGGAAGTCCACCTCCGGTTTTTCCAACCTTTGTATGGATTCTTTGATGGGAAGTGAGAGAGTAGCTCCGACTAAAGCTCTTTCCGCATTCCACACACTGATAGGGTTTCTCCCCTGTATGAATTTTTTGATGGGAAGTGAGAGAGGAGCTATCAGTGAAGTTCTTCCCACATTCCACACATTGATATGGCTTCTCCCCTGTATGAATTCTGTGGTGCTTAGTGAGATCACAGCTCTGACTGAAGCTCTTTCCACATTCCACACACTGATAGGGTTTCTCTCCTGTATGAATTCTGTGATGGGAAGTGAGATCACTCTTATGACTGAAGCTCTTTCCACATTCCACACACTGATAGGGTTTCTCCCCTGTATGAATTTTGTGATGGGAAGTGAGAGATGAGCTCTTCCTGAAGCTCTTTCCACATTCCACACACTGATAGGGTTTCTCCCCTGTATGAATTTTTTGATGGGAAGTGAGATCGGAGCTCTGACGGAAGCTCTTTCCACATTCCACACACTGATAAGGTTTCTCCCCTGTATGAATTCTTTGATGGGAAGTGAGATAGTCGTTCCGACTGAAGGTCTTTCCACATTCTATGCACTGAAAGGGTTTGTACCCTGTATGAATTCTTTGATGGGAATTGAGAGAGGAACTCCTACTGAAGCTCTTTCCACATTCCACACACTGATAGGGTTTCTCTACTGTATGAATCTTCTGATGGGAAGTGAGATTGTGGCTGTGAATGAAGCTCTTTCCACATTCCACACACTGATAGGGTTTCTCCCCTGTATGAATTTTTTGATGGGAAGTGAGATGGGACCTATCAGTGAAGTTCTTCCCACATTCCACACATTGATATGGTTTCTCCCCTGTATGAATTCTGTGATGGGAAGTGAGAGATGCACTATGACTGAAGCTCTTTCCACATTCCACACACTGATAGGGTTTCTCCCCTGTATGAATTCTTTGGTGGGAGTTGAGAGATCCACTATGACTGAAGCTCTTTCCACATTCCATGCACTCATAGGGTTTCTCGCCTGTATGAATTCTCTGGTGTTTAGTGAGCTGGGAGCTCTGACTGAAGCTCTTTCCACATTCCACACACTGATAGGGTTTCTCCCCTGTATGAGTTCTTTGATGGGAAAGAGAGAGTCTCTCCGACTGAAGCTCTTTCCACATTCCACACACTGATAGGGTTTCTCCCTGTATGAGTTCTTTTGATGGGAAAAGAGAGAGTCTCTCCGACTGAAGCTCTTTCCACATTCCACACACTGATAGGATTTCTCCCCAGTATGAATTTTTTGATGGGAAGTGAGAGAGGAGCTATCAGTGAAGTTCTTCCCACATTCCACACATTGATATGGTTTCTCCCCTGTATGAATTCTTTGATGGGAAGTGAGATTGTGGCTGTGACTGAAGCTCTTTCCACAATCCATGCACTGATAGGGTTTCTCCCCTGTATGAATTCTCTGATGGGATATGAGCTGAGCTTTCTGCCTGAAGCTCTTTCCACAATCCATGCACTGATAGGGTTTCTCCCCTGTATGAATTCTTTGATGGGAGGTAAGAGTGAAGTTCTTGCTGAAGCTCTTTCCACATTCCACGCACTGATAGGGTTTCTCCCCTGTATGAATTCTTTGATGGGAAGTGAGAAAGGAGCTCTTCCTGAAGCTCTTTTCACATTCCATGCACTGATAGGGTTTCTTTCTAATGAGATTTCTTTGATGGGATGTGGAATGGGAGCTGTGACTGCAGCTGTCTCCATACTCCAAATTTTTCCGTGGCTTCTCCTCTCTGGGGATTTTCTTTTGGTCACCCATGTTCTCGATTTCCAATACATCTCAATCTGCAATGGAGGCAAAAAGGGATTAGAGCCTCAAGAACAAATGAAGAACTGAAGGGAGTTGGGTGAGTGTTCATTACCTTTGTTGTTTCTCATTAACCAACATATTTATTATTAGATTCTAATGGTTGTTGAATGTTGCTTTTTTAATATATAGTAGTGGCCAAAATTGTAGAAGCCTTTGGGGGAAAGTGTATTTCAGAGGTTTGATGGCTCATAACAGCACTTCTTTTGGAGTAATACCATGAAATTATTTAGCAATGGACAGATAATTTAATCAAGAATGTAATGCAACAAACTTTGTTCACTTATCTGTATTAAATTAAAAAGTCATAGCCAAATAACCAGAAAAAGGAAGCAAACTTGCTTAGGTTGACTTTTGTCAGCGTTACAGGTAGGTAGCCGTGTTGATCTTCCTTAGCCGAAACAAAATAACTAAGCATCTAAGTTTGTTATTGGTAGGAGCTGGTATCTGAAAAAGTGTGCATGCACACGAAAGCTCATACCAATAACAAACTTTGTTGATCTCTAAGGTGCTACTGGAAGGATTTTGTTTTGTTTTGTTTTGTCAGTGTGTTATGTGATTGCTATCAAGTTGTTGTTGATTCTTTTGTGTTCTTTCATTTAGCGAGTTTGCAGAACATGATAAAAAATTTAAAATGGCACAAAGAGTTGACTGGTCAACCATAAAGCCATGTAAAATAGTACTATTAAGTGAACAAGGCTATAGTTATGGAGAAATTAGAAGCAAGATTGGGGGAAACATAACAAAAGCTGGCATTTCCAAATTTTTGAAGAGGTATAAGGAGACTCAGTTACTACAAAATCAGACTGGTAAAGGCAGGAAAAGGTGCACAACAGCAAGTGACGATTGAAAATGGAGAGACTACTGAACGTGACAGAAGAAAATCATCTGGGTGTTTACAAGATGACATGGTGCAATGTAATGTGAAGTTGAGTGCAAGGACTGGTCTGAATGCTAGAATTCCAAGGGAAAAGCCATTATCTCTCAAGCAAAGGTGGAAAAGATTAAACTGGGCTACAACCCATGTTAACTGGACAGCAGAACAATGGGACAGTGTTATTTGGAGTGATGAGACCCAAATTTCCTTGCTTGGTACTAATGGCATGAAATATGCGAGGAGAAGAATCAGAGATTTGCATCAGGGGTTGGCAATCTGTGGCCTATGGGCCAAAAGCGGCCCACGAGCGGCCGCCTGAACCGAGCCATCTGCTCAGCAGGTTCCCATGTGCTGTGCTAAACCGGCGCAGCGCAGCACAGGGACTCACTTCTGCGGCGCCGGAAATCACTTCTGCAGAGATCCAGACGGGAGAGATCGCACTCATGCGCGCGATCTTACCCACGGATCCGGTTTGTGGGAGTGAAGTGGCCCAGACGGGGTAAGGCTTGCCGACCCGATTTATATCCTACTTGTATTACACTGACCGTGAAACACCCAGATAGTGTGATGATCTGGGGTTGTATGACAGCAAAAGGTGTGGGCAGAATTTGTCTCATAAAACGGAATATAAATGCTCCAAAAAACATAAATGAAATACTTGAGCCCAAACTGAAGCGTTCCACATGTGATTTTTCCCCAGATACTGAAGCATTTAGATATATTTATATAAATATTTACTGATTTATTTTTATTTTCTCTTTCAGCAGGATTCAGCTCCATGTCATGTTGCTGCTGTGTGCAAAAGGTGGTTTCAAGAGAATCAATTCCACTGCTGGAATGGCCTGGGAATAGCCCAGACCTTAACCCAATCAGAAATCTATAGAGCCAACTAAAGAAACTTGTTAGTCAGAAGCAAACTAGCAATAAAGCCCAATTAATAGAGGCAATAATTCCATCTTGGTTTCACATTATTACAGCTGCAGAACTAAAAAACTTGCTTCACTCCATGGGAAGACGTTGCAAGGCCAGAATTAAAGCTAAAGTTTCCCAAACTCAGTATTAATTGACATGGTGAGAATTTCTGTTAGAAGATTGGCATATGAAAATGATGGACTTTGCAAATCTGGTGACACTGACAGGAAAAATTCAAAACCAGCACAATTAAGTATTCCAGAAGGGTTGGAGTAAATTTATACGATATCTGAAAGATTATTGTAAGCAATTAACATCACTAGTAGGGTTGTCTGAAGACTTGTAATGAGAAATTTTCTACCTTTCTATATTTAAATTTTGAGCCATTCTGTAATGAGTGTAATAGGAATTGGAAAATGTACTGTCAGGGAACTGACATCGGAGCTAGAGGCGGAGGGAAGGCTCTCAAATGATGCTGGAGAAGGGCCCAGCAGGGAGAGAGGCAGCTCAGCAGAGGGGGAAGCAAATCAGCGCAACACCAGGGATAAAGGGGGGCAGATGGGGGAATCGGCAAGAGGGCTCCAGGACTCTTCACTGGACACCAGCGGGGAGAGCACGGGTCCTCTGCTACCCACGCCCTCCCTGCGCAGAAGACTTCCGCGCAGGGAGAGTAGGAGGAGACTTGGCGTCAAACAACTTTTATGTTGGAAAAGGTTTAAGAAACGCCCACTGACGGATTCTGCTAGCGACTGAGGCAGCCACGAAGTGAAGGGCTGTCCAGCCAGAAAGGTTTAACAAGGCAACATAGCCAGGAGAGGCGGCAACTTACGCACGAGCAACCCCATACCCATTACATGTACAAATTGCAATGATATAAATGTTAATTTCGAAATCTGAGGCCGGAGGGGATAATAATAATAATAATAATAATAATAATTTATTATTTGTACCCCGCCCATCTGGCTGGGTTTCCCCAGCCACTCTGGGCAGCTTCCATAGAAACCAAAAATACAGTAAAATATCACAGATTAAAAACTTCCTGAACAGGGCTGCCTTAAGATGTCTTCTAAATGTCAGGTAGTTATTTATCGCTTTGACATCTGATGGAAGGGCGTTCCACAGGGCGGGCGCCACTACCGAGAAGGCCCTCTGCCTGGTTCCCTGTAGCTTTGCTTCTCGCAATGAGGGAACCGCCAGAAGGCCCTCGGTGCTGGATCTCAGCGTCCAGGCAGAACGATGGGGGTGGAGACGCTCCTTCAGGTATACTGGACCAAGGCCGTTTAGGGCTTTAAAGGTCAACACCGGCACTTTGAATTGTGCTCGGAAATGTACTGGGAGCCAATGTAGGTCTTTCAAGACCGGTGTTATGTGGTCTCGGCGGCCGCTCCCAGTCACCAGTCTAGCTGCCGCATTCTGGATTAGTTGTAGTTTCCGAGTCACCTTCAAAGGTAGCCCCACGTAGAGCGCATTGCAGTAGTCCAAGCGGGAGATAACTAGAGCATGCACCACTCTGGCGAGACAGTCTGCAGGCAGGGAGGGTCTCATCCTGCGTACCAGATGGAGTTGGTAGACAGCTGCCCTGGACACAGATTTGACCTGCACCTCCATGGACAGCTGTGAGTCCAAAATGACTCCCAGGCTGCGCACCTGGTCCTTCAGGGGCACAGTTACCCTATTCAGGACCAGGGAGTCCTCCACACCAGCCCGCCCCCTGTCCCCCAAAAACAGTAATTCTGTCTTGTCAGGATTCAGCTTCAATCCATTAGCCGCCATCCATCCTCCAATCGCCTCCAGGCACTCACACAGGACCTTCACCGCCTTCACTGGTTTTGATTTGAAAGAGAGGTAGAGCTGGGTATCATCTGCATATTGATGGACACCCAGTCCAAACCCCCTGATGATCTCTCCCAGCGGCTTCATATAGATGTTAAAAAGCATGGGGGAGAGGACAGAACCCTGAGGCACCCCACAAGTGAGGGCCCAGGGGTCTGAACACTCATCCCCCACCACCACTTTTTGGACACGGCCCAGGAGGAAGGAACAAAACCACTGTATGACAGTGCCCCCAGCTCCTCAAGACGGTCCAGAAGGATGTTATGGTCGATTGTATCAAAGGCCGCTGAGAGATCCAGCAGAACCAGGAAACAACTCTCACCTTTGTCCCTAGCTCGCCGGAGATCATCAACCAGTGAGACCAAGGCAGTTTCAGTCCCATGATGAGGCCTGAATCCCGATTGGAAGGGATCCAAATGGTCCGCTTCTTCCAGGTGTGCCTGGAGTTGTTCAGCAACCACGCACTCAATCACCTTGCCCAAGAATGGAAGATTTGAGACTGGGCGATAGTTGGCCATACTGGCCGGGTCTAAAGATGGTTTTTTAAGAAGCGGTTTAATGACTGCCTCTTTCAGCGGATCTGGGAATGTTCCCTCACAGAGGGAAGCATTCACCACCCCGCAGAGCCCATCGCCCAGCCCTTCCCGGCTTGCTTTTATTAGCCAGGATGGGCAAGGATCAAGGAGACAGGTGGTTGGTTTCACGCATCCAAGCAGGGAAGGAAGTTGAGGCTCTAAAGAGCCAGGGTGGTACAGCGGATAATGATGGTACAAATGTACAATATTAAATGGAGAATAATTTTAAAAATTATATATATAAGAAAAAACAGTAATTTACTGTTCAAGGTTTATTGTGGGGGTGTTAGGTTCCCAGGTGTTGGAGGGGGCGCTGCTGAGCTCTGTGGAAATGTATGAGGTTTGTCACATAGAGGTATTTTTTGAATTTCCAGGCAGATAGGACAATACCACAGAGAGACTTACCAAGAGAGGCCACGATCCCACGATTCTCCTCCATGATGCCCTTGTGCAGAGCTTTCTGGTCAGGATCCAGCAACGCCTACTCCTCTTCAGTGAAACAAACAGAGATGTCTTCAAAGCAAACTGCACCCTAAAAGAAAAACGGAAATGTCCTCCTCTGAAACAGGATCAATATGATCTGCTAAACAATGCTCTGTTCTTTCCTTCCTCTTAATTGCTGCGTTGTTTCAGTAGGATTGCTTTGCTGCACATTTTTATTATGGATGCTTATTTTAACGCTTTAATGGAATTCTTTTATTCTGGGTATTCATCTTTGTACTCCGCCTTGTGTTTTCCACGTTATTCTGCCTACGCAAGCATTCTAGTTTCCCTGATGGAAGGATCCACTTTCTCCTCTCCTAGTGAGTTGTTCTGGGGAGGTTCCCTCTCAATGCCCTAGAGCCAAATTCAAGGGGTTCATGGGGGCATCGAGGAGTGGGGGGCAGGCTATATTTCGCAGCAGATGGGGCTGGCTAGGTGAATCCTGGACATTATTTGTTCTCGTCTGCAATGCAGGACTTGATGACCCTTGGGGTCCCTTTCAACTCTAGGATTCCATGAAAGCTGCAACTACAGATGAATCCTACAGGCGACATTCAGAAGGCTGGTGTCACAGAGTTATCTGGGCAGGAAATCCCACAGTTCACAGCTGGAGTTAACTCTTTATCAGCAAGAACACAATATTCACAGACTTGGCTGAGTTTCAGGCCGAATGAGAAGAGCAGCTCATTCCCAGAGGGTCTGTCAGTTTGCATTTCTGAGTGCAGAAAGGATGGATCTGATATTGATATTTCCCATACTATTTAATTCAAGAGGGTTCCGGAAGCTTCTCTGCGTAAAAGAAACAAGCAGAAGGTTCCTGATGTTTGGGTTATTCCTTCCGAGAAGCTGAGTACAGCTGGGTTAAAGTGGCTCTGTTCTCTCTTCTGTCAAGGTCAAGCTGACTGTAAGAAGAGGCCAGAAGGAGCCGGGGTTTCAATTTCTCTCTCTCTCTCTCTCTTCCCTCTGGTGTTCTGTACATAGTATGTGTTAAGGTTAAGGTTAAGTGTTAAGGTTTAGACTTATAATAAGTTGTGGTAAGTTTAGGTTAAGTCTGCTGCAACTGGATTTCTGATGGACAGGGCCAATCCTGTACATTTTGGATCTGTGACCAGTATCCTCATTTGTCTTCAGTAGCAGTAAAGCTCTGCTGGGTGAAATACAATTGCCTCTGATCTATTTTGGGGGATCCTGCAACATGTTTAGATTTTACTCTGCTAACTATACATTGGAGTTCTGCTCTGGGTCAGTATTGAGCAGAATTCCCTGAGCCTCTTCCTCCATGAAATCAGTTGCTGAGAGTGAAGGCCCCTGGCTCCCCACAGCTTTCCAAGTCCCCTCCGCTCTGGGGTTCAAGCGATCCAACAGTGCAGCCTGCCTTTGCTCCTCCATTGTCAGACGTCTCCGGGCTCTGAGAGACAAGCAGGGAGGGGGCTTCTGGCAGAAGGAGAGGGAGCCAGGGTCTTTTGCCTCACCATCCCCACTACTGACTCCCTGTTGCTACTCAGCTTCCAAAAAAAAAAGTGTCCCCGGATTCATTGAAAAATATCTGGTAACCATACTCTAGCCCTCCTGGAAGGAAGATTGCAATGCAAAATGTGGAGGCAACGGAAGGGATTTATGTGATGTGAATCAGCCTGGTTGCTGCTGCCTTCCAGTAAATAATAATAATAATAATAATAATAATAATTCTGCATGCCAAGCAGATGCTCTTGGTTCCCCATATTTCACTAGCCTTTCAACGTTATTCTATTAGCAACTGTGGAGATTCCACCTGCCTCTTTCGAAAGGAGGAAACTCGCCTGATTAAAGGATTTGAGGTGATGTATCATTTGTATACTTTTTATGAGTTCTATGTTTTCAATGTTCCTGAGATCTTTTGATGAAGGGTGGTATATCAATTCAATTAACAACAACAACTATTATTAATATAATAATAATAATAATAATAATAATAATAATAATAATAATAAATTATTTATACCCCGCCCATCTGGCTGGGCCTCCCCAGCCACTCTGGGCGGCTTCCATAGAAACCAAAAATACAGTAAAATATCACACGTTAAAAACTTCCCTGAACAGGGCTGCCTTAAGATGTCTTCTGAATGTCAGGTAGTTGTTTATCGCTTTGACATCTGCTGGAAGGGCGTTCCACAGGACGGGCGCCACTACCGAGAAGGCCCTCTGCCTGGTTCCCTGTAACTTTGCTTCTTGCAATGAGACCTCAGCGTCCGGGCAGAACAATGGGGGTGGAGATGCTCCTTCAGGTATACTGGACCGAGGCCGTTTGGGGCTTTAAAGGTCAGCACCAACACTTTGAATTGTGCTCGGAAACGTACTGGGAGCCAATGTAGGTCTTTCAAGACCGGTGTTATATGGTCTCGGCGGCCGCCCCCAGTCACCAGTCTAGCTGCCGCATTCTGGATTAGTTGTAGTTTCCGAGTCACCTTCAAAGGTAGCCCCACGTAGAGCGCATTGCAGTAGTCCAAGCGGGAGATAACCAGAGCATGCACCACTCTGGCGAGACAGTCCGCAGGCAGATAGGGTCTCAGCCTACGTACCAGATGGAGCTGGTAAACAGCTGCCCTGGACACAGATTTGACCTGTGCCTCCATGGACAGCTGTGAGTCCAAAATGACTCCCAGGCTGCGCACCTGGTCCTTCAGGGGCACAGTTATCCCATTCAGGACCAGGGAGTCCTCCACACCTGCCCGCCCCCTGTCCCCCAAAAACAGTACTTCTGTCTTGTCAGGATTCAACCTCAATCTGTTAGCCGCCATCCATCCTCCAACCGCCTCCAGACACTCACACAGGACCTTCACTGCCTTCACTGGTTCTGATTTAAAAGAGAGGTAGAGCTGGGTATCATCCACATACTGATGAACACCCAGCCCAAACCTCCTGATGATCTCTCCCAGCGGCTGCATGTCAAATGTTGAAAAGCATGGGGGAGAGGACAGAACCCTGAGGCACCCCACAAGTGAGAGCCCAGGGGTCTGAACACTCATCCCCCACCACCACTTTCTGAACACGGCCCAGGAGGAAGGAGCGGAACCACTGTATGACAGTGCCCCCAGCTCCCAGCCCCTCAAGACGGTCCAGAAGGATGTTATGGTTGATGGTATCAAACGCTGCTGAGAGATCCAGCAGAACTAGGAAACAGCTCTCACCTTTGTCCCTAGCCCGCCGGAGATCATCAACCAGTGCGACCAAGGCAGTTTCAGTCCCATGATGAGGCCTGAATCCTGACTGGAAGGGATCCAAATGGTCCGCTTCTTCCAGGTGTGCCTGGAGTTGTTCAGCAACCACTCGCTCAATCACCTTGCCCAAGAATGGAAGATTTGAGACTGGGCGATAGTTGGCCATCGTGGCCGCATCTAAAGATGGTTTTTTAAGAAGCGGTTTAATAACCGCCTCTTTCAGCGGGTCTGGGAAGGCTCCTACATGGAGGGAAGCATTCATCACCCCATGAAGCCCATCGCCCAGCCCTTCCAGGCTAGCTTTTATAAGCCAGGATGGGCAAGGATCCAGGAGACAGGTGGTTGGTTTCACTCGTCCAAGCAGCCTGTCCACATCCTCAGAGGTAACAGATTGGAATTGATCCCACTCAACTTGACTAGACAAAACTCTAGCACTCTCCCGCCCCGGCCGTGCTCCCACGGTGGAGTCTACTTCTTCCCGAATCTGAGCGATTTTATCTGCAAAAAACTTTGCAAAATCATTGCAGGAGATCATGTGGCCCGTACTGGGCGCAGATGTCGCAGGTGGTTCCGCTAAATTGTGAACCACCTGAAAAAGTCTCCTGCTGCTGTTTTCTGCAGATGCAATAGAGGCGGTGAAGAAATTCTTCTTCGCCGTCGCTATCGCCACTTGGTAGGCTCGACATTGAGCTCTAACCTGTGTCCGGTTAGATTCAGAATGGGTTATCCGCCACCGGCGCTCTAGCCGTCTCAACAATTGTTTCATTGCCCTCAGATCCGTGGAAAACCATGGGGCTGTCCGGGCTCCATGCAATCGGAGAGGGCGCTTCGGAGCCAAACAGTCAATAGCCCTGGTTAACTCCACATTCCAGCGGGACACCAGGGAATCAACTGAAAGGCCATCAACATGGGATAAAGCATCCCCTACCACTCTCTGGAAACCATTTGGATCCATTAAGTGGCGGGGGCGGACCATCCAAATTGGTCCCACCTCCCTGCAGAGGGGAAGGGTCGCGGAGAAGTCCAGTTGCACCAGGAAGTGATCTGACCATGGCACTTCTTTCGTTTCGCTTTTACTTAGTGTCAGATCACCAACATCCATAGAGGTAAACACCAGGTCCAAGGCATGTCCGCAACTATGGGTTGGGCCAGACTTATTCAGGGACAGCCCCATGGAGGCCATGCTTTCCACGAAGTCCCGAGCGGCCCCTTGTAAGGTCGTGTCGGCATGGATGTTAAAATCCCCTAGGACGACCAAGCTAGGTGTCTCCAGGAGAACATCCGCCACGACCTGAAGCAGCTCGGGCAGGGAATCCTTGGTGCAGCGGGGAGGTCGGTACACCAAAAGGAATCCTGTAACTGCCCCTATTGTCCAACTTCCAGAACATGCACTCAGAGAACTGGGTCTTCCCAATAGGACGCCTGGTGCAAACTAATGACTTCCTAAAAATCACTGCAACCCCCCCTCCCCGCCACATGACCTGGGTTGCTGTGTGTGTAATGGAAACCTGGTGGACAAGCAGCGGCAAGGACAGGCCCATCTGCTTCATCCAACCAAGTCTCTGTTACACATGCCAGGTCAAGTCCTCCACCCATGATCAAGTCATGGATGGCAGTGGTCTTATGAATCATTGACCTGGCATTGCACAGCAACACTTTCAGGTCATGTGGGTATCCCTTGCTGATTCTAGTATCCATCCGGTCAGGACCAGACCCGGAGGCAGGAATAGTCCTCAGACAACGACTAAACCTGCCTCCTCTGTAATGACATGGTCTGGTCTTAGCGTAACTCCTCCTCCTACCCGTGATCACTGAGATTGGTTGTCCCAGTGCATCCCCCCCTGTGGAACATGCCCCAGCCATTTTGTGGGCTGGGGCCCACTCCCCGGCAGCCCTGACCCCTCCCCTTAAGAACAAAATAACACCTTAAACAAACAAACAAAACCAATAAAACAATACAAACAAAAAACTGTAAAAATTACAAAAACATCAAAATCCAAAAAAAGTCCCCAAGCCCAACCAAACATCCATCCCACCCCCACCCCCCACATACATTATCATTTATACCCCACCCATCTGGGTGGTCTTCCCCAGCCACTCTGGGAGGCTTCCAACAAAATATTAAAATACAGTAATGCATCAAAGATTAAATGCTTCCGTAAAGTAAATGCATGAATTTGGAACTGACTGACAAGGGAGTCATTTGCATCTTGTGAAAAATGGATGCTTGGCTCTAGTGGGGGTCCTCACCCGGGGGTCCTCAGGAGTTGCTCCCCCCACCCCCACTTCTGGGCACATTTCCCCCCTGCTTCTGTCTCCTTTTCTAGCACTTGGACTCTCTGCCGCTCTCCAGACAGACTCCTGGGGTGGGGTCTCTTTTTCTTTGCTCTGAGGGCCAGCTAAATTCATACTCTTTGCTGTTAACCATATTCCCAAAGACTTGCCTTGCAATTCTTCCACCATATCTTAAACTGTATTTTTAGTTAACCTTTTCATCTTGGCCTTATTAAGCTTAAAACCAGCTAGTTGCCCAAATTCTATCTTCTTTTCTTGCACTTGGACTCTGCCACTTTCAAGACAGACTCCTGGGGTGGGGTCCCTTTTTCTTTGCTCTGAGGGCCAGGTATGTACCTGGCAAACCCCCTGAGGGCCAAAGACATTGCCCTTGAAATTTAGGAAGCTAACTTATTATTATTATTCTCTTAGATGGCTGAACACACACACAGCCATTGATGCCCAGGTCCCTGGAGGCTCAGTGAGTAGCAGCGCCCATTTCCGGTTGCTTTGCCAGCAACAATCCCTTTGGGAGAGAGAGGATGTGGTCCTGGGATGCCCTGCTCTGGGTGCGAGGGGATTGCTGCCGTGGCCTCCGTGGGGAGCTGCCCTGGGAGACACCGGGAAACTGGTCCCCAATGCAGCAGCCAGACTCTGGGCTGGGATCCCTCTCTTTACTCCTCTCCTTTCTCTCCCACCTTTTCTTCCTCCCTCCCCGTGGGGTTTTCTGGGGGGGGGGGCTAGTCCACCTCCTCGTCCAGCTTTGGAAAACCATTTGCAGATGTTTCCTCTTTTGTGCAGTGACGCTGAGAGACGTCACAGAGAGTTAAAGTCCAGGGATTCTTTTGTTTACAGAAGGGAGATCTTTTCTGAAAGGGGGGGGAGGAGGGTCAAATGAGTTTGGGATCCTCTACTCTGCAGGAAGGAGAGCGTGGCAGACCTGGCCCCTCCCTGGCAGGACCCTCTCCTCTCTGACTTGGGGTCCCCCCCCCCCCGCTCTCTCCTGCCCTGATCTTCCTCCTGGGGAGTCTGGCAAAAAGCTCTGGCTCTCAGCCCCGGGGCTCCTTCCTCCTCTGGGTAGCAGGAGCATAAGGGGGGGTCTTTGCACCCCTGACCCTCTCCTCCCTGACTTGGGGTCCCCCCAGGCCCCTCCCCTGCTGCAGCCCTGGGACCCCCACCAGATCCCAGAGAGAGAGGAGACTCACCAGATCCCAGAGAGAGAGGAGACTCACCAGATCCCAGAGAGAGAGGAGACTCACCAGATCCCAGAGAGAGAGGAGACTCACCAGATCCCAGGAGGGACAGCGAGGCAGGAAAGGACTGGGGAAGGGGGGGGGATTGGCTCTGGAGGACTTGGCCCCCCTTGCTTCCTGGCCTCTCTAGGAAGGCAGCTCGGTCCCCTTTAACCCTTGCAAGGCCAGTCCGCCCAGCTCAGCCCTTCCTCGCTCTCGCCATCCCAGAATTGGGCTCTGAGAAGAGAAGCCTCCCTGGCAAAGAGAGGAGGCCTGGCGTGGCGAAGAGGAGGGAAGACTAAGGAAGAAGAAGAGCCTTGCTGCCTGGGAAGCCGGAAACCTCATCCTGTCCTCTCTAGGAAGGCAGCTCGGTTCCCTTAACCCTTGCAGTGCCGAGTCCCCCCAGCTCAGCCCCCCCCCCCGCATTGCACACTCACTTAGCCAGGGCAGAACTCATTTCTGTTCTTTTGAATGGCTCTAAGGGGGCAGCTTCCCTCTGGCTCCGCCTATTGGGGGGGGTCTTTGGCTCTTGGCTGAGCTCTGAGCATCTCCCTCCGTTGGTCGGAAACGGGTCTGCATAAAAGGCGGATCTACACGGATCCTCATGGATCCTCCACTTTTTAAAAAATAATTCCAACAAATGCAGTGTCAAATCACACCTAGAAGGCACGCCTACAAACTGGACTATAAAAAACGTGGATCCAACACTTTACCGCGCTGCAGCACCACAAAAACATGGATCCGAGGCACGGATCCTCATGAATTCATATGATTTTTATATTGAAACAAAATAAAAACACCATGATACTGTAGACCACATCTTAGTCGGTAGGAGGAACCAAAAAAATCACGCATCCACTGTTTCGTGGTGCCGCAATGGCGCAAAAACATGGTTAACAATCTCGGATCCTCATGAATCCTCATGATTTTTGCACTAGATCAGCCCAAACTCACTTTCAAATTACACATCATGTCCAGGGGCACAGCATCCACCACAGAAATCACGGATCCATGGCTTCCTGGCCATACCATGGCCCAAAAACGTGGTTTTCAAGAACGGATCCTCATGGATCCTCACACTTTTTGCATTGGGCCAACCCAAACTCACCGTCAAATCACACATCATAGCCAGGGGCACAGCCTACACCACAAAAAACTTGGATCCACGCCTGCCTGGCCACGCCCTGGCCCAAAAACGTGGTTCCGAAGCACGGATCCTCATGAATCCTCATGATTTTTGCACTAGATCAGCCCAAAGTCACCATCAGATCAAACATCATGGCCAGCAGCACAGCATGCAACACAAAAATCACGGATCCACGGCTTCCGGACCATATCGTGGCCCAAAAACGTGGTTTTGAAGCACGGATCCTCATGGGTCCTCATGCTTTTTGCATTGGGCCACCCCAAACTCACTGTCAAATCACACATCATGTCCAGGGGCACAGCCTGCACCACAAAAAACTCGGATCCACGGCTTCCTGGCCACTCCATGGCCCAAAAACGTGGTTCCGAAGCTCGGATCCTCATGGATCCTCACGCTTTTTGCACTAGATCAGCCCAAACTCACTGTCAAATCACACACCATGTCCAGGGGCACAGCTTACACCACAAAAAACTTGGATCCACGGCTTCCTGGCCACTCCATGACCCAAAAACGTGGTTTTGAAACACGGATCCTCATGGATCCTCACGCTTTTTGCATTGGGCCAACCCAAACTCACTGTCAAATCACATATCATACCCAGGGGCAGAGCCTGCACCACAGAAAACTCGGATCCACGGCTTCCTGGCCACTCCATGGCCCAAAAACGTGGTTTTCAAGAACGGATCCTCATGGATCCTCACGCTTTTTGCATTGGGCCAACCCAAACTCACTGTCAAATCACACATCATGTCCAGGGGCACAGCTTACACCACAAAAAACTCGGATCCACGGCTTCCTGGCCACTCCATGGCCCAAAAACGTGGTTTTGAAGCACGGATCCTCATGGATCCTCACGCTTTTTGCATTGGGCCAACCCAAACTCACCGTCAAATCACACATCATTCCCAGGGGCACAGCTTACACCACAAAAAAACTCGGATCCACGGCTTCCTGGCGAACCCATGGCCCAAAAACGTGGTTTTGAAGCTCGGATCCTCATGGATCCTCACGCTTTTTGCATTGGGCCAACCCAAACTCACCGTCAAATCACACATCATAGCCAGGGGCACAGCTTACACCACAAAAAACTCGGATCCACGGCTTCCTGGCCATACCGTGGCCCAAAAACGTGGTTCCGAAGCTCGGATCCTCATGGATCCTCACGCTTTTTGCATTGGGCCAACCCAAACTCACCGTCAAATCACACATCATAGCCAGGGGCACAGCTTACACCACAAAAAACTCGGATCCACGGCTTCCTGGCCACTCCATGGCCCAAAAACGTGGTTCCGAAGCTCGGATCCTCATGGATCCTCACGCTTTTTGCATTGGGCCAACCCAAACTCACTGTCAAATCACACATCATGTCCAGGGGCACAGCTTACACCACAAAAAACTCGGATCCACGGCTTCCTGGCCACTCCATGGCCCAAAAACGTGGTTCCGAAGCTCGGATCCTCATGGATCCTCACGCTTTTTGCATTGGGCCAACCCAAACTCACCGTCAAATCACACATCATAGCCAGGGGCACAGCTTACACCACAAAAAACTCGGATCCACGGCTTCCTGGCCACTCCATGGCCCAAAAACGTGGTTTCGAAGCACGGATCCTCATGGATCCTCACGCTTTTTGCATTAGGCCACACCTAAATCACTGTCAAATACACATCATGGCCAGGGGCACAGCATCCACCACAAAAAACTGAGATCCGCGGCTTCCTGGCCACTCCATGGCCCAAAAACGTGGTTTTGAATCACAGAGCCACACCGATCCTCACACTTTTTGCATTGGGCCAGCCCAAACTCACCGTCAGATCACACATCATAGCCAGGGGCACAGCCTGCACCACAAAAAACTCGGATCCACGGCTTCCTGGCAACACCGTGGACCAAAAACCTGGTTTTGAAGCACGGATCCTCATGGATCCTCACACTTTTTGCACTAGATCAGCCCAAAGTCACTGTCAAATCACAAATCAATGTCCAGGGGCACAGCCTGCACAACAAAACCTCGGATCCACGGCTTCCTGGCAACACCGTGAACCAAAAACCTGGTTTTGAAGCACGGGTCCTCATGGATCCTTAGGTTTTTTATGTTTGGTCACCCTGAAATCACTATCAAATCACACATGATGTATATGACCACAGAATGAACCACAAAAACCACAGAGCACAGCCAAGGAACAAACACTATATTAAATACTTTAATCCTCATGGATCGGCATGATTGTTAAATGGACTCCACCAAATTATATTGTAAGATCACACCAATGTCCATGGAATGACCGAAATACAAACGCTATCTGAAATGGTTCTGCATTAGCAAGAACATTGTATTAAAATGACATTCATATTCATAGCTTCCACTGTGAAGAACTGCACCTGGAAATTTTTGACGCTGCTAAACCTCAAGAATATCCAAGGCAGAGATTGTGATGATCTTACCTGTGAATGTAAATTATCAAACCAACTAGATGGATTGAACCACTCTGTGATTGATGCAACAACATCCTTCTTAGCTTGTCTGTATGGGATGGATTCAAAATATCCCTACAGTTTTGCGGCTGGTCATTTTTTGCACCAACTGATATACCCAGGCAAGGTAATTCCAGTGACTACGGTCCTTTCACATGTACCATTGCCCATCTGATTGCTTCTGCTGCCCAATTACAGTTCATACAAAAGGATATGGCTGCCATTAGACCCTGGATTGCAAAAGAAATAATACAGCACTGTGGTAAAACCTATTCTGAAGGACAAGACAAATATTTTCAAGTGGAAATTGATGCTGTTCCTCCCAAGAAGAGACAAATCTTGAACGAGAGTTACATTACTGTGTTTCAATCATGCCCAGAGGGATGGAAGGATACACTAACCTATTGCTCAGATATTTTACCTTCCTTGTTTGAAGGCTGCTGGTCACTATGTTTCTTGAAGGAAGGGTGCAGGAGGCCCAGTGGTGACCTAACTATGGTTTACTGTGAAGGAAACTGCAAGGACTGGTACTACTGCTTTCACATAGGCATTGATTCAAAAGATCTTCCAGAGGTTTTCGTGTGTCCAGACTGTCAATCCACTGTGGCCAAATAGATTTTGAAACTGCGAACTGTCATATTCCACAGGTTGGTATAATACAGCAAAATCCAAACATATAGTTTTCATCATCATAGCAGGGATGGTCCTTTTCCATAGAATTATTATTTATGGAGTTAGTTTTTACATCCTGCTTTTCTCTACTTGAAGGAGTCTCAAAGTGGCTAAAAATCTCCTTTCCCTTCCACCCCCACAACAGACACCTTGTGAGGTAGGTGGGGCTGAGAGAGTTCAGAGAGAAGTGTGACTGGCCCAAGGTCACCCAGCAGCCTGCATGTGGAGGAGCGGGGAAGCGAACCCAGCTCACCAGATTAGAGTCCACCGCTCTTAACCACTACACCACAGAAACATATCTCTTAAAACTCTGGAGCAAGCTGTTCAGTTCAGCCTCATAGTGATACTGATTTGTGGAGGGAAGGTTGGTGATGAGCAAGATCTGTTCCCATTTCCCAACACAGAGACCACAGAGCAGTTTCTTTTGGGGGCTGAACCTGCAGAGTGTTTCTGTTCAGAATTTCTGTGGCAAAAATTGGCTAAGTGCCTTTATAAACATTCAGCTTCTCAAATCGAACCCCATCATGAAACTTTCAGGTGTAGCTGCTGGAGGTGGAGGGCAGAGAAGGTGCTATTCCTTACCTCCCTCCTCCCAACCCCATGATCAGTTGCCCAATGGGCTGAATTTCAGGGCTTTTGCATGTAAAGGGCAAGCTTGTTCTTTACTTGTTTAGATCTTTAAACTTGGGAACAGATATTTGGCTCCATGACCAAAATGGTCAGCTTCTAGAGGACTGGAAAGATCATGATTGTACTTCCCCTACCCTCAGCCCTAACCCCGTTGAGTAATTTTTGTTATGAGACTGAGTGTTTGGGGCTGATGCTATAGCATTCTTGTCTGGGGGCTTGATGGAAAAACAGAAAAGTGACCCTCACCTAACTCTCCAATGCCCTTCAACGAGAATGCTGTAGGAAATATTGCTAAGCCCAAAGGGAGGCAAGAATTTGCTTCAGCTCACCTTGTTAATGGCAGAGCAAAAGCTATGTGTGTGTCATTCTCAATCAGTCTACTTTCAGGACTGATTTTAGAACCCTCTTGTCAGGGAACTGACATCAGAG